GTACTGGACATCTTTCTTCAGCTGGAAAAAGGCCCGCAGAAAGGGCACCTCACCACAAGTCTGAACCTAAACTCTCAAGATTAGTGAAGGCCAGCATTCAGATGGTCAGGCAGAGAGCCTGGGCATGGGGTAAGGCTGCGGACCAGCCAATCCAGCCAATCCCTAGTGCACCCCCTGCCCTAACAGCTATTTTATGTTTGTGATTCTGTGAGCACCTTCCTCGTGTTTTGGTCTCTAGCAACTCCTACCACTGCCTGAAAATTTCTGATGTATCATCTACATCTAGCATTTCCAAATGGTCAGCTAGAATTACTAATGTGTGTTGATAATATTGCTAATGCTGCTTTGGGCCTGGGAAGGATCTGCTTTTGGGGGGACAGAGCAGATTTAGCTAGTAGATGTGAGGATGGGTGAGAAAAGCCATCTCTTGCAGTGGTTAATCATTTAGGCATTTGTGAAAACCGTGAGTTGAAAAATTCCTCTGAAAGTTTGTGAACAATAAGATAGCAGGATAAATCTGTCTATAACAATAAATCTTTGGTGTTGCTCTTGGCAATTCAGAGTTTTCCACAGAGAGAGGCTAAAAAGCTAACTGTATATTTAAAGACTGCTCTTCTTTCCTGGATGTGCATCTACTGTAAATGGCTTTGATGTTTCAACCCAGGGTCACCTTTTTCTAGTTTTACACATTTGAGGGCACACATACTGCTGTTTGGAGTTTCAGATCTTTCTAAAAACTGATTCACAAAGACACCTAACCTCTCCAACCTTTTTCTGCCACCTACTTTCTCTGTGAATACAGTGCCCGCGTACTTTCAAAGGCAGAGGCTTCAGAACTTGGCAGCCAAAAATGGATCGCACCTACCACATTAGCGGTGCGGTTGACAACAGTGGTTACTTACCTCTGCTACGCCTGACTAGCTTTCTTGTTGTTAAGTGTGGTCATGCAGGCTAACACTGACTTAGAAACAGGATGCACAACTGAAATGTTTATGTTCAAAACCCATTTGGGGATTGAGGTAACATTTCCTACGTATGTTGTACCAATTCATAAAAAAGAAGCTCTTTTTTATTTTTAAGGCTGATGTTTTGCTCCTTTTGACTTCTAATGACTAAAAATGAGTTTCATATTCTTTTTCATCTCTTCTTTTAGCTGTTAGTATTTAGTACCTTCATTTATCTTTGAAAAGCAGTTAGAAGTGAAAGGTCCCAGATAAGAGTGATTGGTGGGTTGGGTGGAAGATGGGCTGAGGTGGGTTGAAGAGAATGTGATAATAGCCTTCAAGAGAGGCAAAGGTTGTAACTGGAGCTTACTTTGAAAATTACGACCATTTTCTGGTGGCCCGGCCTGGCAGTCAGTGATCTCTGTGGTAGTTGGTCAGCAGGTGTGAGGGTGATGCTGGCACACCATGATGACATGTGGTGAGAAGACCAAGCAGAGAGCAGAGGAACAAAGGAGAAACACAAGGCAGGGGAGAAAAATGTTTAGCCTTTCTTTCTTAAGGATATTACAGCAAGATTTGTTATTTTGTTGAAAGTACAGTAGTTCCCAGAACAGTATATTTATAAACATTCAGCCTGTTAGAGACCTGACCATCCAGATTGGTGTCTGAGGCTGGACAGACACGCCCAGACCGTGCCCCTCTGGAGGAGTTGCCTTTTTCTCTCCAAATTCACAGTATCTGGTAGGCAAGTGATTAAGAGCTCTGGTTTGCCATGTGTAGATATGGAAAGTGAAGAAATCATTGGGTTTTATTAAAGCAGGGTATAATTCTGGATCTCACACTCAGTTATTTTTTTAGGTCCTCTCCTTTTTACCTAGTACTGTAATATGTGTTCCATATCCCAATGGGGACTTACAAACTGCTGAAGGAGATAAAAGGCAAAAACATGAAATACCTTGAAAACAGGTAAGTATGTGATATGCATTATAAGTGCCATGTGCACGGAGGCAGGAGCCTTTTTGCCTTGAATTTAGACGGTGTACATGTTGAGATCTGGTATCATTTTGGAAACCATGTCTAAGAGAGGGTCATCCGCCAAGGGAATTCCTCTCAGCAGACTCTCTCTTATAGTCTTTGCCTAATTTATTTTTTGTCGCTACTGGAGTCTATAAGATGGGCAGATAATTCAGCAAGAAATGAATTGGGAGTGAGTACTTGGCAGCACAAATTAAACAAAGGTCAGAATGTGGAATGCCCAGTGGGGACTCTGTGGGCCACGAGAAGACCCCCTGGAGGAAACGGGAGCAGAGGCGGAGAGCTGCGGGTGTGTGCAGTGCCCAATGGGACGGGGGCAGAAGCGAGACAGACATCCGAGTTGGGGGTCCTGAAAGGTAAAATTAGGAAATTGGCTGTGGTGACAATTAAGAGCATATAGGTCCTCGGGCATGGGTTTGAGAGGATTCAGTAAGTGATCAGAGGATCAGCCAGGCAGCAGTGTGCAGGATGAGTAGGAGAGGGAAGATATCCCAGAAAATGAAGCGACGAGAGCTTGAATCACAGTGCTATCACTGGAAATAAGAGGGCACTATTAAATTAGGAAGTCTTGTGGAGGAACAAATGGCAGTATTTAGTGATAGGAATCAGCAAACCTTTCTGTAAAGAGCCAGATAGTAAATATTCTCAGCTTTGTGGGCCTGTTTCCAGCTGGTCTTTGTCACTACTCTGGTGTGAAAGCAACCACAGACAGTGCCTGGGCTAGAAGGGGCGTGGCTAGATTTGGCCAAGGGCCATAGTTTCCAATTCCTAATATAAGTAAGGGGTAAAAAACAAACAAAATACGAAAACCTTTTTAGCCCTAGGGAATAGAAAGGACATTGGGTATACACTGGTAACCCCATAACCAAGACTTCATTTTACCCAACCAGATTGTCGTGAACACTGTTTTTCTGAGATACAAAACATCCAACATTGCCCAGTTCCACCGACTTCAGTCTTCCTTAGCATGTGACTCCAGGATAACCCACTGCTTCAGCTGGATCTCTGTCTGATACATGGTTTCTAGTTCACAGTATGTAGCTGGAGGAAATGTCACAAAGAAATTTAAATAAGCATATTGGCAAAATGAGCTGATTGTGACAGAACAAAATTGGCCCAGGTTTTTACAATTTAGGTGGAGCTCAGAAAATGAGGGAAGACTCGAAGGGTGCAGGTGCATGGAAAGTGGGTTCTTACGGATAGAGTGAGGGGTCCTTATAACGTTTACGTGACTTGCTTTCTCAGGGAGCAGCTGATGAGTGAAAAAAGATGTCAGGAGGGTAACACATCAAGCTAGATGCTGGAGTCGTGAGGCAGTGGGACATAAGGAGGGTAGGCAGAACGGCAGCACTGTTCTCGGAAAGTGGGTGGCTTCTTTATGTGGATACCTGCTGCAGTGCACTGGTATTTTTATTTTGTTTTTTAAACAGATTACTGGAAGAGCATTATCCACAATGCTAAATCTATATATACCAACACATAACACATGTATATTCCCCTCTTTGTTTATATATACACATAGTTTCTGGTTTATTTTTCTTTTACTTAAAATACATTATGTCTCCCAATTTTGTATTTTTATTTCATGTGGAGTTCTCTCTGGTGTTGTTAATTATAATTTTAGCTTATTGTGAGGCCAGCCAATGTGTTGGGTTGGGGATCACAGAGATTATCATCTAGATAGATGGCAAGGAGGAACAGTAACTGTGGTTCTACAGGAAGGCAAAGGACAGGCTGGTTTGTTTCTTTCCCTTTTAAACAAAGATTGTGCCTGATTTCTTTTTTTTTTTAATTCAGTGATTCTATGGTTCTCTAAAGGGAAACATTGCTGTTTTCAGGGATGGCAGATGTGTTATGTGATCACTTCAGGTTGATTTCACTTGGTCCTTTTGCCTTCTCCCTGTATTTCATCCTGTCCAGCTTCCTTCTATGAAACCTTCTCATGGCTATAGAGCTGAAGCAGTTTCTACTTGTTCATACTTCAAAGAATACGTTCTCTGAACCTTTCTATTGGCACAGTGTATGTAGCCTGGCTTTCCTCCTAGTCTTAAGCTTCTGAAGTTCCCCAAAGCAGTGTGGATGGGTTCTCGCAGAATGGATGGGAGGAATTTGGCTGTTTGAGTGCAGAGTGTGTGTCTTATCTTTGTAATCTGTGTGCCTCGTGGAGAGTCTGGCACATTCATCGGTGTTTGCTGAATCAGTGACTGAGTACATGGATGGTGAAACAAAGCCATGAGCTTGCCTGCATGTGTGGTAGACGAGTTCACAGCCTCTTCTTGCGTCCTGCCACCATCCTCATGATCTTTTGGAGATTCACTGTCAGGGGAGCTGAACTCTCAAAAATAATATCCAGATGAAAAAAATGAGCTGCTATTTATTAATGGCTGGGCCAGTGTCCAGGAACCCCGCTCTCTGTGCAGGACTTTTCTTACAGGCATGTTTGGGGGCTAGAATCTAGTATGAGTTTGATTCCCCCTCTCTCTCTCTCGGCCAGTGAGGACAGGAGGAAGGCCCGAGCTTTCTTGCACTCTCCCTGAGCTCAGAGAGGGCCGCGGTCCCTTCACTCAAAAGACAGCGGGCAAGAGGCAAGGAGGTGAGTGTTGCAGGTGGCCGCCCCAGACCGTGGCCGGCTGGTTAAAGCCAGTGAGTAAGAGGAAAAGTAGAGGAGTGGCAGCAATCACAAGACAGATCAGAGGTGCCAGGGTGAAGATACTTGACGTGACCAAAAGAATCTCGAGGCTTTTTCTGGTAGGTGAAAATGAGGAAAATGAAAGCAGGTGTGCTGGTAGAAATAACCTATAAATTGTACTTAAATAACTTTCCAAATAAATATAAATCATTAAGTTACATAAAACCATTTTGATTTCATTATATTAACATTAATAAATTTTAATTTTCAGGTGCAAATGCCCTAAGGCCTCAAGACTCTTAAACACAAAATATTCAAAACACTAATTAATCACAAATGGGCAACTTTTTCAAATAACTTTAAGAACAGTACAATTAAGAAATAACGCCTACACACTACCTTTGAGCCCCGCTGCGCCTGCACCTTGTGTGGGGTCAGGCTGCCGCACCAGATCACGTGCTTGTGGGTAACTGGGCGGACTGCTCCCGCCAGTCGCCCTTTTAGGTGCGAGCGACACAGGGAGGGGGTGAGGTGTCACAAAAAAATATACCCTATCTACAAAGTAGAATAAAAGTGCTCAAAAAACAAGAAACTTAATTACAAACATTAAAAATCAAAAGGAAAAACAGAAGTCACATTTTCTAGGCTAGGTAATATCTCCAAAATGTATTTGAGAAGAAACTGAAGATAAGAGTCATTTCAGAGGCTTACGGCCCTAAGTGGGCCTTTTCTCTGTCTTCCTTATTAAACTCATCCTCTTGGGCCTCTCCAGGCCATTTAATCTTGACTCATACATCTATTATGTTAACTATTTCTTCCAGCTATGGGAGGCCTAGAAGTCTGATAAGCATGCCTCTCATTCCTTCAAGTGCCCGCTGAGAACCTTAAATAGAATAGGGGCAGTGCAGGGCTTGTACAATGACAGAGAGACCTCTCCCCATGGGTGTGTATTTGTTAATCAGAACATTTTTGCATACATTGGTTCAACAAGTTTCAGATCCATCTAAGTGAACAATTGAGCCCTCTATGAGGTTATCTTAAGAGATGTAAGCCAAATACTTTGCTGTGATCTAAATATGCTTTATCCGTGGCATTTTTTTGGCTTCCCCACACACTAGTGCAACCACGAGCAACAATCAGAGTGGGATATTAGTCAGCACACCTAGTTTCAAGCATCAGAAACCCAACAAAGTAGAACAAGGGATTTCAATTGCTTATATCAACAGGAGGCCTGGGGGGTGGGGGGTGGGCTGGCTTCTGATGCAGCTGGATCCAGGCCACACAGCTAATCAGAGGTAGAGAACTTACTTCAGGCCCTCTGACCCCCAGGGCAGTTCTGTTTCCATTATGTGGTGCTACCTTTACAGTTCCTCAATCAATATCTGCTGAATTAAAAGCAAAATGAAAAAAGAAGGGCATGTCTCCTCTCAGGGTTGCTCTAATAGGTTACTCTGATTTTACCTCTCAAGACTTGCATAGTTCGTGTTCCCGAAGGAAACAGCTTTTGGAATTCCTCAGCAAAGACAAAACCATTACTCTATACTTGCTTGTATTCCACTTTGTGTCCTAAGCTAAGGCAGATGATTTGTCTAGCAATTATTTGTCCGTTGATTCTGCGAACATCACTTAGCAAAGTGCTAGGCATTTGGGATGCAAATGTGATGAAGATGAGAATTGGAGACAAAGGACAATTCAAGCAGAAGGCCTAATAAGCATACAAATATGAGTACCTTTGTTTATTATTTTAATCAGCACATATGTATTAAGCATGTGATAAGTGCCAGGAACCATGTTAGGCACAGAAGAGTAGAATGTATGTGGGGAACTGCAAATAGTTTAGTATAGCAGAAGTTCAGGGTACATGTGGGAGAAGACGGGAACTAAGGGAAGTCACCGGACACATTGGGGAAACCCTAGATGTATTTGACACAAGAACATCATAATCTGATTTTCATTCTGGGAGCTGTAGTCGTAGCTGTGTAGGTTGAGTTGCAGGGGATGGGGACTGGAGGTTGTAGGAATAGTTCCCAAGGGAGAGCTCAGACAGCTGTGCTAGGGAGGCAGGGTGGTTGGGAAGGAGAGAAGTAAGATTCAGGGAGAATCCAGAAGTCAAAGTTAGCAGGGCTTAGTGCTTTATGAGGATGGAAGGAGGGAGCAGAGTCAAGACAGATTCAGGTCATTAACTGAGATTGGAACTCAGACAAGCAGCTGAATTATGTTCGTGTTGTGTTCATATTACCTAGAGTAGTTCCTGGCACATAGTAAGGTCTCAATAAATAATTTTTGAGTGAATAGCTGAATATAACAAGAATAATACAGTTTTGTGGAAGTATTGCAAAGGGAATGCGTCCTATTCTAATCCAAGAAGGTGAGAAAAAGCCTCCTGAAGAAGTATTTAGCGTAAGGTTGAAGAGTGAATGGGAGAGAACTTAGCTAGGGAAGAACTTTGCAATATGTTTATATGTGACTCTGAAAATCCATCCAGGCCTCACCTGTCTTTTTGTTCTAGGTGTTGTCTCAACCCCCTCTCCACTTCTGGCTTTGACTCTTGAACTTCTATTCCTGGAGCCTCTTCCATCTGTAGGGAGTCAGTGGGTTGACTAGGGTGATGAATGATAATGATTGTCATAGTAATGACCATTTATTAAACAGTTTTGTTGTACCAGTCTATTTCAGAAGCCCTCAGCCATAAAAAATGAACACTGAGTCCTTAAGGCTTATTGCTGTCAAAGTTGTCACTCAGGCTCCATTGAGGGTCCCTCCAGGCTCCCAGATGGGAAAGGCTTTACCAATTGTTACCAGTTCTAAGAGTCAAGAAGAACTGATTCTGTGAGGTACATTTTAGATTTTTTTTAAAAAAAACTTTCTCTCTTTATTTGGTTATCCTTCTTCTCTCAAGTTACACTGAAGGTATGAGGATGCTTCCAGGAAAACACACACTGCATTAAAACAGACAGACAGACAAACACCTAGTGAAAATAAAAATGAGGGATAGAGAAAAAATAAGGTAAAGTGAATCTAGGAATGTCCCAGATATGTTTTCATTTTTAGAAAATTCTGTATATTGCAGATTCACAGATATTCAGCCAAAGTCTTAAATGAAGCACAAGTAATCTGCCAACCATTTAGTTCAAACAAGTTGTGTGAATTATAATGACATTCTATCCAACCAAGTACACATTTTTAATTGAAGGAAATGTACTTCAGAGGAACATTAAAAAGACCAAAATCTTGATCATCTCAGAGATGTGGGTAGCCTTGCCTTGCATAGTTATTCTGTAGTAATAATTGGAAATTACCTAGTTCAATTCAGTATTTAGAAAGGCATAGCAGCATTTAAAAGTCTAAGCATCTATGAAAGTCTTTCCTAAATGTCTGAAAATTTTTCAGTATGAATTGAAAATTCAGACATTCAGGAAATTCATGCCATAATTGGCTGAAACTATTCTGGCTGAAACATAAGGTAATCATGCTTTCAGTTTGCAAAATAACTATCACTGTGAGAGTCTCTGCCTTGGCAAAGGGTATTTTTTTAAAGTTGATGCTAACTGACTCTTTCCAAATGTTGCAATGCAATCTTATTCTGGCATCCCTATATGTAGTCAGGAGATTCAAAGTGTACATCACTGGTTTTCCCCAAAATGGCATCTGTGGCTTTTAATTAATGATATATTGTAATATATGTATAGATCAGGAAATAGTTGCACCTAGTAGAATTTAAAGAGGTAACTTCTGACAGTAATAAATAAAAACTTTCTATAGTGTTAGAAATAAGGTGATGCAGAAATTCTGCTCAACGGTGATGAATGAAGCCTACTTGAAGTTCCATAATAATTTTGTCAATAGGAATTCCTCCTGGAATTTATCCTGGGTGAAAAGAAAACTCTAGGTCCTAGACTCAGTGACGTAGACTGGTATATCCATTTCACGAGGATATTGTCAGTTTTGGTAAAAGTAATCAGTACTAAAATCCTGATTCAGCATTTGAATTTGTGTGTTTTCCACATTGATGATTTTCTCTCTTTAACAAGGTTTTACACCTCATACATATGCAATTTAATGTATTATGTCATTTTAAAATGAAAATAGCAGAAAATATTTGAAAGTAGATTTGTATTTAATAATTTAGAGTAATATTAAATTCATTTGCCACAGTACTCAATTTCAAGAAAAATTTCCTTAGATATGTAATTTAGTTTTCTGTTGGTTATTATTTAGGGTAATTTAGCATGAGCTTCTGCTACTGAAAAACAACCTGAAAATCTCAAGGACTTAGCACAACCACAGTTTATTCCTTGTTCTTGTGGGGGCCAACCCCTCCATTAGGCAATTCAGCATAGCAGGCCACCTCCAGCCTACCACAGTGCCATCTCAGTGCTGGTCTAGGGTCAGGGGAGAGAAGTGTGGCGGTGGCATGCCGCAGAGGTGCCACATGCCACTTTTGCATGTTTCATTGGCAGTCACATGGCCCTGTGGTGCTGGCGCATGACCAAAAGAAGCACAAGAAATAGTGTCGAGTGGCTTATTCTCTGCCATGCCGTCTTGAAAGAAATTGACATCAATAATAACAAACAACTAAGTTTTCAATTGTGGAAGTTTTATCTAACTTTAAATGGATTTTTATTACAAATTTTATTTGATTAATGTGAATAGTTGATACACCACACAAGCAGAATAGTATCATGGACAACTACAGGGACCTGGGTGCTTGGTTATGGTGCTAGTTCTGTGTTAACTAGTTTTGTAAATTTATACTCATCATTTAAACTCACCTATTTTTTCTTCATTTGTAAAATAACTAGATCATATATAAGATCCCTTATGATTTTAAAATTTAAATTTCTTTATTCTACTCAAGCTATATAACACAGGCATAACATTTTCATAAGTAAGCTCTGCATTGAAAGAAAACCAAAAACAGGTTTTGGTATGTTTGCAATATATCTTGCTTTTGTTGTTTGTTAACCAAGGATATAAAATGTTTACTGAGGAACCCAGAATTGAAACCTACAACTCTAATTTTAGTGGTGCACATGCTCTTCTGATTTCTTTTTTTAATTCAACAAAGATTTAGTTGTCTGCTACATTATACATGCATTTTGCAAGGTGTTTGAGATATAAAAATGAGTAGATCTGGTAGAATTTTGCTTGGGAGGGACTTGTATTCCAGCACTGAAGACAGAGACATAGAGAGAGGAGTTCAGTGTGCCTTGGGAAGTGTTGTGATGACGGAACACACACACAGTTAATGGAATATGAGCCTGCACTTGTCACAGCTGGGGAGGTAGGAAGAGCTGTCAGATCTGAATCTCAAAATGTGAATATGAATAAGTTTAGAAAAAAAGAACAAAGGGATAAAAGATCATAGTATATGGGGAGATGTATCAAGCATCTTGTTAGTGCTAGAGCTAACCAGCCACACATGGCTGTGGCATCTCAAAATGTGGCTGATTCAAATTGATACTAGTTTTAAGTGTAAAATATAGTTCAACTTTCAAAGATGTAGTTCAAAATAGGAA